AACAGTTACTAAAGACTTTAGCCTCGAGTTAAGGAGAAAAATATATAATATCCTCAAGACATAACCTATACACTTCCATACAGTATGCCTGCCCGTCCTAAACTCAGGGTCAGTTTCCAACCCAAAAGGCGAGTGACTCTTACTCACATCCCAATGATACAGACTAAAGACAAAAAATACATAACACAAAAAAAGAAGGGAACAAAGGACTAAACAGTTCCACTTACCCCAAAAGTGAATATAGATGAGATGTATAAGCTCTCCTGGGGATTCAAGTTCTTCCAATACTCTTTCTTCTACTCAACTCTGGAAAGGATCCCTGCACTGAACAAAGTGGAAGATACTAGCACATGCCACTTTGCTGTTCTTAGCCTATTATGTTCATAAAATCCCTTTGTTTTGCTTTTTTGTATTGCTAATTACCAAGCTGACCACACATATATCATTTCTTATGAAAATAGGAGAGACCACACAAATCCCAATGGTGTAAATGTCTAGAGATATATTATATACATTTACAGCATAATGTATACATAGATTTCTTTTATTATTTATTAAATAATTAATAGTTACTTATAACAATAATATACATGAAAATCCAGTCATTGACCAAGATATATAAAATCCATCTGTGAAATTGGCAATCAAATGGTCACATCAGGCATTTTACATCTTGATTAAGAAATGAGGATCAAAACTCTGAAGAGGAGAGCCTTTGAAAGGTCTCCTAGAACAGAAAAAAGGAAATAGAAAGTAGAGGAGAAGAAAATACAATTAAAGGAGAGAGAAAAACAGTAAGCCCAAGAATCCCAGAGCAGGCCCCATATCCTGAACCACTGAATCACCCAGCAGGGGAGCAGAAAAGTAAATAGAAAGGGGTGGTCATCAGGGTCCGCCATAAGAAATTATTCGTGAGTAATGATGAGTATTTTTTAAATAAACCCAGGGGCTCTAGATTTAAGAGTAAAATGTTGCCTCCTGGTTTTTCTTACATCTAAATGGCAGAGATCAGGCTTGCTGACTGTCTGTTCAGACACTGAACACTACATCATGGAAGGAAGGAGAAATAAAACAGGCATGGTCAATGTCCAGAAGAACCAGGTATTTTAGGGTCCCAGGCATGGGAATGGTAAAGTGAAGGATTTCCATTGGATTTTGATGGGTATCAAACAAATGTATTACTTTGGGTAATAATGAATTTGGAAGCATTAAGTAATGGTTGTCAAATACTGTATGTAGGTATGTTTTATATGCATAAGTACTACATGTATAGTATTCTTGATTTATTTAATAGTTGTGTGTTTTTAAGATATCCCGCTATGTACACTCAGTACGCTACATGGATCCACATAACAAGGAAATATATTTTAAAGAAAAGGGAGATCTGCCAAGCCCACTGGAAATTATAAATTGGATAACACAAGTTGAAGACAAAAATGTCACACATTGGAGACGTGTGGGCCTCTTTGATGGATCTCTTCCAGAAAATCAGCAACTTACTCTCACACCACAGCTGATATCATGGAAACGTGATCAGGTGACAGAAATTAAAGGAAACCAATACTTTGAGAATACGTAGGCTGTCATTGTTGGCTATCATTGTTGCTCCTTTCTAAATCTGCAGGTCACTGGATTTCATGTCCATCTAAAGGATCTATCGCTTCCAGAATGATTAACTTAAAAAAATATAAGTCAGGAGATCTGATATTCACAATGTAGATAATTTTTTGGGGGTTGGCTATCAGGAAAGTGTTGAGGTCAAAGACAAAAAAAATAACTAGCACTTTCGGAAGGGGATCAGCAGTGGCAGCTAACATATTTCTGCTGCTACAGGTTTCCTTATTTTTAGAACGTTTCACTTAACGTGCAATGGATCATTCTGTGTATCAATATAAAACTTTGTCATGGAATCCAGCAGAGAGGTGATGACTATGGATG